CCCTCCGATCATCATTCACACTCACTGATTTCTGCCCTCCGCCCACCTATCTTGCAGCCAGCAGCTACGCCTTGTACGGGGAGCGCCTGGGCCTTCTGGAGGAGACCCCCAAACCAGATTCCCAGAAGTTCATTGACGCTGTGGAGACCATGCTGCAGACTACGCTGCCCTTGCTCTTCCTCCCTCCGGGTGTCATGCGCTGGATGAACAACAAGCTCTGGCAGGATCACATGGATGCCTGGGACATCATCTTCTCACATGGTCAGTCCAAGGAAGAGAGGTGATGATGGGGTGGCAGGGCTGCACCCCAGCCTGTTACGGCCGCAGGAATGCCAAGTGGCTGCATGACTCGGGGGGTGGGGGGCAGAACTGAGGAGCAAGGGCCCAATATGAGGCACTGATGCTCTGGAGTGCAAAGGGCCAAAGCGGATGGGAAGTTCAACACCCGCACAATAGATACTGTGGGCAGAGTGGAAATAATCGAGGTGATCAGCCCCGCCTTCACAGCCACGTATCTGTGGCTTAGGTGGATGGCAGAAAGATGGAAAGAACCCCGCTTAGTGAGGATGCTGAGGGTATCCATTGAGTGGGGTGGTAAGAAGGAGACTTTGGCCGTCTCCTCAAATCCCAGATCTGTTTAGTCTTACAAAGGTGGAAAAAGGTGCTGTGCATCATTTTCATACACTCCAAATATGGCGTTCCAAAAGACCATTTGGGCAATTCAAAATTCAAGAAGAGCACAGGCTCTTTTGCACTATCAGATGTGTGTGTGTGTATACACGCGCAGGCGCACACACACACACACACACACACACACACACATGGCGTTCCAAAAGACCATTTGGGCAATTCAAAATTCAAGAAGAGCAAAGGCTCTTTTGCACTGTCAGATGTGTGTGTATACGCGTGCACGCGCACACACACACACACACACACACGCACACAAAAGGGCTGCCTGCTGACCACAATACAAGAAGTGAAAGGAGTGGCCGACACTTCTCCAGAATGCCCAACACTGATCCAGGGGATTTTATTTTTCTTACGTTTTCTTGCCCCACTTAAACTTTGGTTGGAGACTGAAATATCTCTGCATTAATGCTCTCAGATTCCAGTTTCTGAGCTTCCAATGCTTTGAAGGTTTTTAAATGCCACTAAACTTGAACCCAGGTCTCGATGTGTATGTGTACACACACACAGAAGTCAAATGCACAGGTGTGCTGCAGGTGTGCGGCACCCTACCCCTATGCATGGACCTCTCAAACCCCTATGTTACTTAGTGGCCTGTCCACACTGCCAGGGGTGCCTTTGGAGGGGCCCAGGCTGCATGGCCTGACTCGTGGGGAAGAGCGGGAGGGCCCCTTTACATGAAGCAGGAGGAGAGGTGGTGGCCGACAAGGTTGTGCGGAGGAAGGGAAAAAACTGGGAGGACTCGACTCAAATGGTGCCAGCAGTCTAAAGGCGAAGTCCCGTGGGTCCTGATTCACATCTTGGGGGTGAGCAAGAGGCCAGAAGGTGATGACCAGAGGTGGAGGGGGATCCCTGTGCCCCATGACAGTTCTGGAATGATGCTTAGTGGGTACAGCTGGAAGGCAGAGACCGCTTGGAAGGCCTCTTTTTGTCTGCACAGAGAGATGCTGAGTTTCTGTTCAGCACAGGTTAGGCCTCCTCTAGAGTCTTCTGTCCAGTTCTGGACACCACACTTGAAGAAGGAATGCTGACAAACTGGAGCAAGTTCAGAGGGAGGGCGACAAGGAGGATCAAGAGGTTGGAAACCAAACCCTTTGAGGAAAGGCTGAAAGAACTGGGGATGTTTAGCCTTGAGAAGAGAAGACTCGGGGGAGACAGGATAGTGCTTTTCACATGCTTGAAAGGCTGCCCTACAGAGGAGGGGCAGGATCTGTTCTCAATCAACCCAGAATGCAGCACACGTAATCATGGGCTCAAGACATAGGAAGCCAGATTTGGGGCTGAATATCAGGAAAAAAAAAAGTCTTCACCACTAGAGCAGTATGGCAATGGGACCCACGACCTCAGGAGGTGGTGCTGAGCGCTCCCATGCTGGAGGGAGGCCTCCAGGAGAAAACTGGGCCACCCTCTGTGAGACCTGCTTTGGTTGGGATTCCTGCCTTGAGCAGTGGGGTTGGACTCGATGGCCTTGGGGGGGGGGGGCCCTTCCAACTCCATGATTCTAGAAGTCCTCGCACAATGAGGAAAGAGAAGCAAGGCTCGTGGGCCTCCCCACCCCCACCCTGCAACCTCATCCAGTCCTCCCTTGGAGCCCCTCCCAGTTCAGCTCCTACCTCTCCCCCCAGTTCAGCCATTGAAAACCCTGAGGTCCAAATGGGCTGAACAAAGGCCAGGCTTTCAGAACCAAGGGGGGGGTCTGCACATGCCTCTTACGGATGGGAGGGTGGGATGCGTTTCCACACCTGCCTCCTTGCTTCTCCAGCTGACAAGTGCATCCAGAACATCTACCAGGAATTCTGCCTGGGGAAGCCGCGGAAGTACTCGGGGATCATGGCGGAGCTGCTTCTGCAAGAGGAGATGCCCCTCGACTCCATCAAGGCCAACATCACGGAGTTCACGGCGGGTGGCGTTGACACGGTGAGCGTGCCCCCATCGTCATGGTTCCCCAGGGGATAGCAAACCGGAGGGTGGGCATTGACCTCAGCCAAGGATGGGGGGGGGAGGCTCTGCGGCATCCGGGAGAGCTTAAGCCAGAAACCGGAGAACAAGGGAGAAAACTCAAGGAGTGCCAGGGGACTCCCTTCGGAACAACACGCATGTGCAACACCGCACCCTCAGATGTTGGGTTGCCCATTCTCCAGGACTCAAGCTTTGGACCTAAATTCTGGAGTGTTCTGTAAGCATTTCTGAGCCGCCAACTTAGAAAAAGGAACGAAATGCTATCAGCCTGACTTTCACAGCTTTGGGATTCATTCTTATAGATTCAAGATACACAATTCAGAGACGCCTTTGTCTTTTTCATATTATTTATCATTCTTCCTTGATTACGTTGACACCCCGCCCTTCCACTAAAAGATAGCACATGAGGTAGCTTACCAAAACAGGAAACCATACTTAGTTTAAAATCATCATTGATAACTGTGCATCAGTTTCCTTCTGAATTATGCTGACCCTTTTCAGAGATGACTCAGAAGTCGTTTCCCATTCTCATCTTTCTGGGGTTGCCCTGGGGACCCTGTGCAGCTTGCCCACGGCTACACAGGTTGGCTCTTCTCTCAGGGGGCACAGCAAGGGAACTCAGCTCCCAACCTTTGACTCTGCAGCCAGATGCCTAACTAACTGAGCTATCCAGCCAGCTTTAAAAAAACAAACAAAAAACCCAGCATAAAAACATATAAACCAGCTCTACTATAAAATCAAGCAAATACACTAAAAACCATGAAAACGAGCAAAAGATGCAGATTAAAAACAACGCCACAGGGCAGGTTAGGCATCATCCACAGTCTAAAAAGATGTAGTTTTACTTCATTCTTAAGAGCAGTCAACATGAAAACAGCAGGCAACTCAGAAGGGAATGCGTTTCACCCCACGGGACAAGGCCCTCTTCTGCTTGCTTATTCGGCAGGCCTCTGAAACTGTTGGCATTTTAAAGAGGACACCTCCTGATGATCTTAAAGCCCACATGAGCTTCCAGTGAGAGAGGTGGCTCCTCAGATAGTCGGGCCCTGAGCCATTTAGGACTTTAAAGATTAAAAAAAGCACCTTGAATTGGGCCTAGTAAGCAAATGGCCTCCAGTGCTGGTCTTTCAGTATCCGAGGCTCACAGCCCCGACGCCACGCTCCCGGTAACTTCATACCTTGGCCATTAAATTAGCAGCTCTTCTTTGTCTGTCGGTTACACACACAATTGTTGCTGACCCTGTGAAAAAAAGAGCTTCATTCCTGCCTGACCTTTGAAAAAACAAACCACCGGGGAGACTTAAATGCAGCTGCAGTATCTTCTTTCATGTGTCGTTTTTAGAAACTCACTGAGCCACCAAAGAGACGCATGCTCGCTCTGCTTGGTGGCGTGCCTGATCCGAGGAGCCACTTCCTGAAATTAAGTAAATGTGTCCACATTTTAAAAATAAAACCCACTGACGCCTCGTCCAGCAGGGCAGGGAAGGCATCAAGAAAAATAGCTACCCTTGAGCATTCTGATGGGAAGAACTTTACCCTAAGATCTCTTGGCATGGAGGAGGAGAGAAATCTCAGCCTCAGAACTAGTTCTGCAAAGAGGCTGGAATAGCCAAACTCGTTTTGGTGGGGAAGGTCGTGGGGGGGGGGCTTCCCAGTGTCCCGTGGCTCTCACATGGATGCAGTGAAGTTCTTGGTCAGTGAGACCCACCCAGACTATACAGGTTTGGGCTTGACTGTTGAACCTGCTGGGGGAGGGGTGACTCACGGCTCTCGTTCTTCCTCTCCCCCCCCCCGGGCACCAGACGGCCATTCCTCTGCTCTTCACCCTCTTTGAGCTGGCCCGCAACCCCCACGTCCAGACCGCCATTCGGGAAGAGATCAAGGGTGCAGAGTCGCAGGGGTCCAGAGAGCTCTCCAAGGTGCTGAACGGCCTGCCACTCCTCAAGGGGGCTATTAAGGAGACACTGAGGTAAGGCGGGGCAGGAGGGAGGGGCAAGGAGAAGGTGGGGGGGGACTCTGATCACCCTGGACAGGCGAGAGGCTGCCCCCACCTGCCACCATGAACTCCTTCCAGGCTCTCACCCCTCTCCGTGGCTTTAAAGGAAGGCCAGTCCCACTGCACACCAACGAGGACTAGGAGGGGGCCAACAAGGAAGGGGTTGTTCCTGGTGGAGAAGGGGCAACAGGATCATCATAGGCAACCCCGTGGTTTATGCGGGCACATCAAACTCAGGCTGCCTTACCCTGGGGATTTAAAGGCTCCTGCGGTGTGTGATGGCCCCCATACCTCCCTCTTTCACTGGTTTCCTAGAATCGTGGAATTGGAGGGAAGGGAAGGGAAGGAGTCCAAGAATCAGAGGCAATCTGACGCGAGTGAGCGAGCGAGTGAGTGAGATCTACATCTGGAGCATCTCTTAGATGGCCATGCAAACCCAGCCTCACCCTCCAACCATGAAAATCAACACATCAATTTACATCATGTAAAGAAATAAACAAACAAGCAAATCAATAAAATCCCAGGCAAATAAAGAGGCAACTTAAGGGTTTAGGGCAGAGAAAACCTAAGTGGTGGCGACGCTCTTCAGCAGCAACGGAGAGAGGCGATTCACATGGCTACCTAAGGAGGAGGATGTCCTTGAAGGCTTCTTTGACCAGTTCACCTTTGAAGGACTTCTGAAAGGTTTGGTGGGAGGAGGCCTGCTGGATCTCCAAAGGGAGTCCGTTCCAGAGTCCCAGGGCCACCCCTGAAAAGGCCCGGCTCTGAGCAGAAGCCCTCCTCCCATCTCCCGGCACTCTTTCTCTGATGATGGCCTTGGCATCACCCTCAGAACCTTCTTCAGCCGCTGTCCCTGCCCAAGGAGGCAGGATTTAGGGCCTGCATTTCGTTGGAGACCAGATCCAGATCCCTTCCTTCTGGTCCTAGAATCGGGGGCTTATCTGGGGATAACTAAGCCCCTGACCTTATCCTGATATCAAATAGAATGACTATTCTAACACTGTCTCTTCATGGTTTGGCCCCAAGGACCCCGTGACCCAAAACACATCCTGGCATTTCCTACAGCATGCAGGGAAAAGTTGTGAGGTGAAGAGCAGATTGAGTAGCTTGCTTTCACCTCTTTCCCCCCTTTTTTTCTGTCCCACTTTCTGCACCTTCTCTCCTTTAGTTTGGATTTCATGATTTCCTCCCCCCCCCTTGATTTTTCTCCTGTCTTCCAATCTGACCCCCCAGTAATTCTTGCCTGGAAGCAAGGGGAGGGCCGAGAAGCAGAACGAGAACCTTTGCTTAGCCATCCCTCACCACTCCGATTACAAGACAGAACGACTCCCACTTGCAAACGGAGGGCTTTTCTGGCTGGGGGGGGGGTGGGCATCCGAAGACCAAGACAAACATTTCAGACATAGGGGGACCTGGTTAGGAACATACTGTGTTTCCTCGAGTTTGCCAGAAATAAGAGCCACCCACCCTCTCCGACACACCCGGTGCACGTGCTGTTCTTGGTGGCGGCACAAAGAGGCACGAGAGGCCCTCTCCTTCCTCCCTTCAGCAAGCAGGAGTTGGGAGATCCAGGGCTCCTTCACCCACCCAGGGCGTCTTCTCTCGCAGGCTGTACCCAGTGGGCATCACCGTGCAGCGCTACCCAACCCGCGACGTGGTGCTTCAGAATTACTACGTGCCGGCTGGAGTGAGTATTCACTGGCTTCTTTCGGTTACACGCTCGCAGGCCTTGATACTCTCGTGGATCCCGGGAGGGTTCGTAGTGGATGGGGCAGAAGTACAACAGGTTTGCAAGCAGAAGGACCCAGGCTGGTTCCCCCCCCCCAACACCTCTCGTGGAAAGAACCCTCTGATGGTGGTCATGTTAAGGTGATGAATGAGGATGAATTAAGATGATGAATGAGGGTGATGGCTACTGTGATGACAAAGAAGATGATAGGAAGGCTCTCTCCAGGGGAGAAGGCTTGGAAGCCACTGCGGGTCATGTTTATCAGTCATATTACATTAATGCCCTGCTTTTCTTTCCTGCTGTAAAATCAAGGCAGCCCATCCTTCTCCCTCCTTTATCCTCACAACCGCCTTGTGAGCTAGGCCACGCTGAGAAGGGGTGCCTGGCCTAAGGTCACCCCCCCCCCAGTCAGTTTCAGGAGCGAGAACATGTTCTCCTGACATTCAACCAAGCCTAGCCCCCTGTAAGTCAAGCCTGTCAGGCTTCGACTGAGCCCTACTCCCGAGTCAGAGCAGGCTTTTTCAGAACACACAAACACACCCACCCGGTCTTGTGTCTGGTGATGTGAGTGGGCCCGAGGGGAGGGGTCCAGCCCCAACCCCAACCCCACCTGGCTGCACAGGACGGCGTTTTCCCAGGTGGAAGCTCAAGCTGAAAGAGGAAGGGACCGCTTTCAGACCCGTGTGTGTCTCCCCTCCCTTCCCCTCCCCTCCCAGACCCTGTGCCAGGTGGGGCTGTACTCCTTGGGCCGGAGCCCGGAGGTCTTCAGCGACCCGGAGCGCTACGACCCTCAGCGCTGGCTCAGCAAAGACGACAACAGCTTCAAGGCCCTGGCCTTCGGCTTCGGATCCCGCCAGTGCATCGGTCGGCGCTTGGCCGAATCGGAGATGATGCTCTTCCTCATGCACGTAAGCGTCTCTGCAGGGAGAAGCCCTGGGAAGATCCCGCTGGGGTGGGTTTTGGCCTGGAGGGACCCGCCAGCCAAGGGTTTCTGGGGAGGGAGGTCCAAAAGAGCCCCCCAAGGGACCTTTCTGAGCCCTGCTGCCCGAGCTGAACGGGCCCTTCTTGCCTCCCTCCGCTGGCTCACCTCCCTGGTCTTCTTGCTCTTCCAGATCCTGCGGAACTTCAAGATCGATACCGTCTCCAAGGCCGACCTCAAAACCGTCTACGGCTTCATCCTCATGCCAGAGAAGCCCCCCTTGCTCACTTTCCGGCCCATCGACTAGGTTGCCAGCTAGCCCTCTTGGCGGCTCTTCCCCTCCTGGCAGCTGGTGGCAGCTGGGGAAGCAAAGGGAAGCAAACACCCACCTTGGACTTTAGGGCGCACCTTCTCCCTCTCTCTCCCCCTCCCCCCAGGCATTCCTCTGGGCAGCCACTCTGGACAGCTCTGTAGCCACATCTTGGCCTTCCTAAGACATCTGGAACCAGATTCAGATCAGGCATCCTTTAGTCTTGAGAGACGATGGTAATGTGCTCTGAATAGAGGTCTTGTAACGGCGTCTAGTGTGGCTCAAGAGTGACACAATCCCTTCCACACAGAAGACAAATACAATCTGTCCCCTCTCCAGCTCCCTGGTTTGGCTGCTTTCAGGACTGCCTCTTGGCCTCGGCCTGCTGGACGAAGGTCTCTTCAAAATGGAATCAAATTAGCAAGACTGAAATACAGCGCTTGGGGGAAATGGGCCGTCACAGATGTTCCCCAAAGTCTCGCAGGCCCTTTCAGGCTGTTGCATGTGGAGGACGAATGTTCCTGCGCCTTCCGAGGGGGCCTCGGCAGAGGAGCAGCCCCACCAAGGGGGCCCACACAGAACCGCTCTCGCTCAGTGGCTGTTCAGGATCACGGCAACTCCCTCTCTCTCTCTGCAACACGTGCTCTCTGACCTGACGCCTCTGGCACCACGGTGCCGAGCCCCACACATGCCGAGGGGCTTGCAATAACCCCCCCAGGGACCCTAGCTTTTAAAAAGTACCCCACGCCCTATAGCAACCCCACTCCCACAATTTCACTCCAATGAGTAGAAATTGCCACCCAGAGTAGACCTTTGGTCTAGATGGGCGGGGTATAAATCTAATAAAATAAAAATAAATAAATAATGAACCCAGTACTGCAGGGGACTCTGGTTCTCTACCAAGGCTGTTCATTTTCTGCAGAACAAGCAGATTTTGTTTTCTACACATGTGCTGATTGAGCCATATTTTTCTCCTTTTGCTAAGCAACAGGACCGGGCAACAAATGTCCATCCCCGGCCACTGGCCAACCCCGCTCACGCAGAGCGTTCTTCAGCAGGTCCTGCCGAGCTCTTTTTAACACCCTGGCCGTGACTGTCAGAGACACAAAATTGAAAGTAGGGGATTTTCAAGTGGTTTGAAAAATCCCGCGGGCCCCCAGGGGTGGTTTAGGAGAGAGTTGAGAAACGGTACGTTTTCCTTAAAGAAATGGAGGCACCCCATTATGACTGATAAAAAAAAAACACCCGCTCCAGGAATAGACAAGAAGTCTTTTATTTCCTGGTCATCAACAAAACTGGAGGCTGTTCCACTTTGGCCACATCATGAGGAGACAAAACTCACTTGCAAAGATCATAATGCCGAGAAAAGTGAAAAGGCAGCAGGAGGAAAAGAGGAAGACGTGAGATGGATTCGCTCCACGAAGGGAGAGACAGCCTTGAATCTGTAACAAATGAGCAGGGCTGCAGAGTAGTGGGCATTCTGGAGGCCACTGGTTCATAGGGTCACCCTAAGCCAGAGGCAACTGGACAGCACATCACAACAATAATAAAGCTTCCCGTCCCTTTTAACGAGAAGATTTACCACTCAGTGTTCTGAGCCTGGCCTCTCCTCTTCTGGAGGCAAGAACATACGAGCATAAGAGGAGCCCTGTGCTGGATCAGGCCAAGGGACCCTCTAGTCCAGCTCCCCGGATCTCCCCGTGGCCCCACCAGACGCCTCTGGGAGCCCACGAGACATAGCTGTCTCAGGACCCCCCTTCCCCTGCCTCTGGCCTTTGGAGGCCCTTTCCTTTTAAGAGCCTGGAAATTTTACATTCCCATCATGGCTTGTCACCTGCAACGGATTTTTTTCCTCCAGGAATCTGTCCCATCCCCTTTGAAAGGCCTCTAGAGGCCACTTAGACAGAGAACAGGCTATTTATGCTGGTTTTACAGTTGTGTGTGCTAGTCCTTTGTTGTAAGCCAATAAACCGTTTATGAATAACTCCTCGGTTTTCGGCTTGGTCCTTCGGCCATTCCATTCCGGCTCACCCCAGCCCTGTTGAACTACCCACGCTGTTCTCCTTTGAGTGACCCTATAGCCGCTTGAAGGACCGGTGAGTTGAGAGGGCTCTGCAGGCGGAGAGGTCCTGGAGTAAAAGACCAAAACTGCCCTGGGGGGGTGGAGAGAGGGACAGATCAAGGGCTCAGAGGGGGCCCCAAACCCCACGGAAACACAGGAAGCCTCCCAGTGACTAGCCAGGCCTTACAATTCCTCCTTTTTTACATGCGAGGAGGGGCCAGGTGTGGTCTTTGGGCTGCAGGCAGGCTGCCAGACCCTCACCTTTCCTCCACACACCCCTTCTGACCCCCACCGCCACAATAATGGCCAGTGATACCCATGGGGGAGCCTTTCCCACACCCAGAAGTCACTTTCGTTTAGCCAAAAGCGCTCCCTGGGTGAAAACAGGGGATGCAGGTGGAGAGCAACCAGCCCCCCCACCCCAGCCTCTGGAAACCACCCCCTCCTTGCTGGCCACGGCCTACTGACAGAAGCCAGCCGTGGCTGCCTGGGGGTCTCGGGTGAAGGTCCCTCCCAGGAACAGCAGCACTGACTGAGGTGAAGAAGCTGAAGCAAAGGCCAGCCGTGGGCAAGACCCACGGAAAATCCCCTCCTTCCCCCCCCCCCCCACACTGCTGTGGCCCTCGTGGCCTGTTCCCAACCAAAGTCTCCAAGCACCTTCCCTGTTTAAATACGTTTTTAGGCTTCTGAAGCCGTGCCTCCTCAAAGGAGCACTTCCATGATTTAAATAAAATAAAATAAAATCACAAGGCAATAACAATAATTCAACCGGCCCAAATCCTGAGCAGGAACACGAGCAGCACCTCCCCTGAAGGGGCGACAATTTGCTCTCCAGACCTGTGGGGCTCACCTTCCCCAGGAGAAGGACCGCGTTCCCCCCCCCAAAGAGCAGCCCCCCTGCTCCACTGGGCCTGTGTGGCCCTGCTCCCAGCCTGGAGGGCTTGCCAGGACCATTACCTGCCTAGACTCCACCAGGGTCTTGCCTGACGTGGGCCATCGGCACCACTTGAAGACCCTTCCCTCCCCCGGCCCCAAAAGGAGCAGCCGGGCTACTTCAACAGCCCCCTTTGGCGGGAGGGCGGTGCCCCTTCCTGGCCATGCTGGCAAAGGAACCGCCTTCTGCTGGCAGCCCACAGGAAGCCAGGCGCCCTGGTGCAGGCCGTGGTCGGCTGCCTCTCAGCCACTGCAGGGAACCCCCTCCACAGGCAGGAACTCAGGGATGCGAGGCGGGCGGGCTGAGCCTTTGCCAAAGACGGGCAGCCAGCATCCCATGCCCTCCCCCTCGCCAGCGGCCACCACGGCCCTGTATGGCCAGCCACCCGGCCCGGGGCTAGAAGAGCTGGAGCAGGAACTCGGGACCCCACTCCAGAGCGGTCTGCGTGACCGCCAGCGCGGCAGCCCCCAGGGAGGCGGTGATCCCCCAGACCGCGGCCTTCACCAAGCGGCTGCGTTCTGCTGGGAGAAGAATCTCGTCGCCGGCCTCCATCACACGGCTGGCCAACGAGTGCTGTAGCTGCTGCTGCTGCTGCTGCTGCTGGCGAAGGATGGCATCGGGGCGCTGGCACAAAGTGGCCTGCTGGAACTCTGAGAAGGAACTGATGCTGATGCTGGGGGGGGGGGAGAGAAGGAGACAATGAGCTCCAGTGTGTGTGTGTTTGGGGGGGAAGAGCCCACCCCTGGCCCTCATAGGTCAGATTTTCGCTGTCCAGGGTGAGCCCCCTTCACACCGCAGAGACCTCCCCTCTCTCTCCGGAGGCAGTCCGGGCCACAAGGGCAGGGCGCCCGGCTCCCAGAAACGGGCCCTGCCGTGCTTTGGTGGCCCCTCCAAAGGCGGATGGCCATCGGGGCTTTGGCTCCCCGCTTCCCCACACCCATCCGCTCACCTCTTGTGGCGCTGCAGGGCTGCCTCCCGAGCCAAGGCGGTGTGGGGCAGGCACCGGAAGAGCCGCTGGGCCTGGACCACCAGGGCCTCGTAAGGCAGGTCCTGGGGGAGGCGGGAGAGGAGCTGGTGGACGCTGGCCATGTCGCACTCACAGGCCAGGATCTCCTCTTCGCGGTAAAGGACAATCTAGAGACAGAGGCAAAGGGGTGGAGGGTGAAGGCTCAGGATCGCAGGAGGAGCCCTTCCCGGTCGCCCTTCTGCCTGCTACCCTGCCCGCGTCTCAAGGGTCCCAGGCAGACCTCTCCTCCTCGCCAGCCCACCCGCCTCAGGAGGGGCCACACACCCGTCTTTGCCCCCCTGGCTTTCTCCTGGCCCGGTGGGCTCCAATGCCCACTCTCCCCGGACAGGTCAACCAGCTCCTTTCTGGCAGAGGCACTCTTTCCCAGACGAGCCGTTCTTCTGCAAGGTGACTCTCTTTCACAGCTGATCTGAGGTGGAAACCTCGACGCAGTGGTCAAGCCACCAGGCCGCCACGTCACTTAGCCTTAGCCAGCAGGGTGGGGGGTAAGGAACGGCCCCAGGGCTGGGGCAGCCTGACAGCCCTCCCCATGTCCACCGGGAGGACGGGGGGGGGGGGGAAGAAGCCATACCGCAGCCGCAAAGTAGACGGCCATGAGTGGATGGGAGGCCAGGAAGAAGTCGTAAAGGCGCAGGATGTGGTGCATGTCGGCAAGGACGTGGCTGTACCAGGTGATGAGCCAGCTCAGGGCAAAGATGGTCCCTGTTACATACAGCACTGAAGGCAAAGATGGTCCCCACTTCAGATCTGCAGCCAGAAAGCCAAGAAATGGGGCTTCCGGTGAGAAGATCCCGTGGAAGGGCACCTTCCCTAACTCCAGACGCCCTCCCTGTCCCGTTCTGGAAAGAAGCCTTACCTTCTCATGAAGTCATGGAGTCGAGGGCTCTCCCGCTGCAGGATGGGCATGAGGTAGTTGAGGATGTGCTTCGTGCTGTCCATGGTGGGGTCCATGAAGTCCCTAGAACGGCCGGCAAGAGGAGGAGCCGTCAGCGATCCCAGGGGGCAACTGACACCGGCGAGCAGGTGGCTCACCAAGGACCAAAGGCACTTGCCAATAAATCTGGCCGTCGAGCCCCCTCCAACGGTCCAGCCACATCAAGAGAGTCAGAGGTCCATCATCCTTGCTCTGGGCAGGGGAGCCCGTGAGACGCATCGGTTGGAGTCCCGGGCGAGACTCGGGAGACCCGATTTCAAACCCCCACCTGGCCATGGAGGTCCCCAGGCGATCTGGGCCAATAACTCTCTCTAACCTTGACCTTCCCTCCCAGGGCTGTTGCGAGATAACATGGAAAGGGGGAGGAGGGAATGGCCAGAGAAGACTGACGGGGGGGGGATGTCGCCTTGCCTTGCCTTCTTCCCCCACCGATCGATTCCCCTTCCCTGAAGCAACGCCAAGGTGTCAGACCTGAGATGAAGCAGGGAGAGCTTCTCCAGCAGCGCCACGGCCATGCGCTCCCCCGCCACCAGCAGCAGCGTCACGGCAATGTCGTGGTAGCCTTGGTAGTAGTGGAGCTCCGGGTGCTCTCGCAGGACTTGCAGGATGACGTCGATCAGCTGCTCCTGCAGGACCCGGCGCTGCTCCTCGGGCATCCCTGGGCCAAAGGTTGGGGGAGGCAGTCAGAGATGGACACGCACACATGCACACGTACAGGCCACATCCCCAGGACCGCTCCCTGCTCAGGACCGCTGGGCGACCCAACCTGGCAACGGGCTGTCAGATTTCAGGGGAGCAGCTGGTCTCATCCCTGGCGGCGGAGGAGGTCCAGCCCTCGGCCAGAGGTGTGCCACCCTTACAGCTTCCCTCTTTGTTCTTGTCTTGACAGTCCATCAGGGTGCCTTGATCGAAAGCCCTTCTTAGGCTTTTGCAAAGCCACCAAAGCCATGCCCGCCTTGGACCGAGTCCAGCAGCTGGGTTAGAAAAGAGGGTCCCCTTGGTTTGCAGGGTTGAGGGGCTTTGCTTGTGTTAAGGACCCGGTAAGAAAAATTTAGTGAGAAGAATCACGATGAATGAAGAATTATGGGTGCGCAGTAAAAGGCAAATGATGCCCCCAGGTCCCAATAATTTAGGTAATATATACGTGTGCTTGTGTGCGTGTACACACCCACACACCCGTGAAACATGATGCGATCCAATGATAAAAGCAGAAATCCCCCCAATGAGAGAAAATGGAAAAACCTATTTCTAGAGCTCCCTATAAAATTTTAAGGGACTGGAACAGAACCTGAACAAAGTTGAGTCTTTGTGCGTGTGTGTGCGTGTACACACCCACACAGCCGTGAAACATGATGCAATCCAATGATAAAAGCAGAAATCTCCCCCAATGAGAGAAAATGGAAAAACCTGTTTCTAGAGCTCCCTACAAAATTTTAAAGGAATGGAACAGAACCTGAACAAAGTTGAGTCTTTAGGGAATGAAATGTCTTCTTAAACCCTAGAGGACAATGCCCTGAACGTCAGGAGACACTCAGAGGAGTTTCTATTACAGATGATGAATGGGTTACGTGATTAAAAATTCCCAGCTCTGCAGGAGGATCATTGAGGGCCGAGCTGCCCATCTGCTCTTTGGATTCTCTTGGGGTTTTGGGGAGACCCGGGGGAAGAGCGCCTCGAGAAACTCTTAGAGTCCAACCGGTCCACTTTAGATCCCATTGGCCTCTTTCAAGAAACCATGGAAAGCGGAAGCACCCTTTTGCCAGCCTGAAGCTTCTTTTGGACTACAACTCCCAGCTATGCCCCAGTTGGCTGGGAGGGTTAGAGTCCCAAAAGGGAAGCTCTGCCCAACCAGAGCCATGCCCACTGCATGCCTCTGACCGGAAGGGCAGTGAGCCCAGATGGCTCGGGACTTTCCCTCGCGGGGGCTTGACTTCTGCCGTCTTTCCATCTGCCTGTGGCCGAGGCCGACTCACCTGGCGGGAAGCGGCGAACGGAGCGCCGGACATCCAGGACGACCTGGTTGTAGTCTTTGTGGTTCTGACGCACTTCACGACCTGGAGGGGGGAGAGAGAAACAATGACATGTTCTTGTGGGGAGTGGGAGCCACACATGCACGCACATGGGCACTCAAGAAGGGGCAGCCTGGCGTCTGCTGGCAGGCACAAATTCCCAGGTGCCTGCCCCAGAAGCCTCCTGTCCAGCCTCCCAGTCTTCAGCTGCACCAGACACACCCACCCACCCCAATTTGACTGGGAAAGAGAGAGGCCCACCCACACCCTGGAGAGGCCTATCCCGGCATGCACTGCACTAGGTACCCTGCCCTGGAAGACGCACCTGGCTTAGGTGGAAGGCTGTAGACGTTGACGCTCAGCAGCTTGGGCCACACCTTCCTACGGATCTCATCTGTAAGGAGCCCCCCCTGGCTGAAGGCCGCCTCCCGCAGGCTCTCCACGTCCACGGGGTCTCTGGTGAGGGCTCGGTGGATCAGCAGCTGCTTCTGCTGCTTCTGGGATCCGGGCAGTTCTGCTGACAAGGAGGCAGAAGAAGAGGAGGAGATGGGAACCAAGGGCTGTAGCAGGAACCGGCCTCCCACCTGCCACACCGTACAACACCACCTCCCTCCCTCCCTCCAAAGGATGTGCTGAAAGCCGAGCAGCCGCTAGAAAGGCTGGCTGGGGCCCGCCAGATGCAACCCTTGGGCAGCCACAGGCCAGCTGCTGAGGAATGTGGGCTAACCTGCTTTTCCACTAGTGCCGTTTTGTCCATCTCTTGCCCCCCCCGCCACAGGGCACGCCAATACGCGCCAATACGTCTTGGTTGGGAGCGGGCGGGAGGAGTGGACTCCCTTAACCTTTTGAAACAAAGCTTTGATCCTAGATGTCTCCTTGGAATGTCTGGAGGCTTCCTGTCCACCTCAGGTGGGGAGGTCAACGGGCTTGGCCAAGCTTGTCTTGGCAGATGGAACGGGAGCAGCAACGAGGCGGTTTGACACAGGAGGCTGTCGGTCCCAAGCGGCTACAGATCTGGTGCTGTGCAAAGCCCAAAGTCTGTTTCTCCAGGGATCCCTACGGAGCATCACACCTGACTCCCACCTGACACCTGTAGATGCAGGTGTACATTTCCCTCTCTTACAAGGATGCCAGCTGAGTGGATGCACCCACCAGGCTCTGAACTCATGTTCACACTGACGGAACATGCAAAAACTTCAAGCCTGTGACTGGAATAAAATCCATGTTTGCAACAGCCGCCACCCTCCTAACTTTGAGAGGACGTGCTGACAGGATGACCTCATCCTTTCCGATCCTTCCCCAGATAAATAAACAGCCTCTTGCAAAGACAGGAGGCAACGTTTCTGGTGTTCCTACCCTCACACAACCCCTGGTTAAAGCAGGCCGAGGGGGGAAACGACACCATCACAATTTAACATAATTAACACAATTAATTAATTAACATAATTAATTAACAAAAGATCCATTCAGACAGAGCTTTGCTCCCAGGAAATATGCCCGGCTGGTTGCCTGTCTTCCTGGCTTTCTCACCACTACTGACTGGGGCCAGTTAGAGGGAGCATATAACTGCTACAATAACTGCACTGGCTACCGGTCTGTTTCCAGGCCCAATTCAAAGTGCTGGTCATTACCCATCAAGCCCTCTACAGCCTGGGTCCTGGTTACCTGAAGGACCGTATCTCCCTCTGGGCGCCTTCTCAGCGATAAAGATCAGCAGAGGAGGCCCTCCTCTCGGTCACAAGCCCAGCGGATGGGGACCCAAGAGACAGGGCCTTCTTGGTGGCAGCTCCCAGGCTACAATACGGATTAAGTTCTCAAGTCAAGACCCCACTGTAACTGCTACAAGAACTGCATTGGCTACCGGTCTGTTTCCGGGCACAATTCAAAGTGCCGGTCATTACCCATCAAGCCCTCTACAGCCTGGGTCCAGGTTACCTGAACGACCGTATCTCCCTCTGGGCGCCTTCTCAGCGATTAAGATCAGCAGAGGAGGCCCTCCTCTCGGTCACAAGCCCAGCGGATGGGGACCCAAGAGACAGGGCCTTCTCGGTGGCAGCTCCCAGGCTACAAAATGCTCTCCCTCGGGAGATCAGGACGGCCCCTTCCCTGTTATCCTTCTGAGAAAAGCTAAAGACTCATCTCTTCAGGCCAGGTTTTAACAATTATAACTGAATCCCTGAACTCCATTTTAGCAGATAATTTTTATCTTTTTAATGTTTTCATGTTTTAATTGTATTTTAAATCACATATTGTTTAATTTATCTTTTCATATTTAACTTACTGTGTTTTTAAATTGTGTGAATTTTAATGTTGTGAGTCGCTTTGGGTCCCTTGTTGGGAGAAATGCGGCATATAGAGAAGAAGAAGCAGAAGAAGAGGAAGAAGAAGAGGGAAAAGGAGTGCAAAAGCCTCTAGACACCTGTATGTTGGACCAACCAGATATCTGATTTCCCACCCCCCTCTACCTCATTTATCCCCCCCTCCAGACACATAAAACGAATTTCCTGGGGATTCCAGTCCCACAAACCCCACACCCTTGCAGAGGAAAGGGAAATAGACCCAGGGGCAGCCCACGTGTCTGGTCCGGATGACTCCCCTGCCCCCACCCCAGCCGTGACTCTCCCCGGCCACTTTGCCCAAGAGCAGCTCAAGGCGAGGTGAGGGCAAACGAACCGGCAGGCCTGCCTGCCTCAGAACATCACAGCATTAGATGCAAAAAGGGGCACCACAGGATGAGAATGGCCTTCGCACGAGAGAACGGCAGTCGGCGCCTCAGAAGCTCAACCGGGCAGCTCCACCTTTCCTGTCCATCCATCTCAAGCGCAAGGAAGGAAGGAAGGAAGGAAGGAAGGGGCTGACGTTGCTCCTCTCCGAAGAAGGAGAAGAAGGAGAGCGCCCGGTCGAGGGAGCTGCTTCAGGAACGTCTCTGCCGTGAGCCCCAGCCCAACCGGCCTCTCTCGGCTCCGGAAGAAAGAGCAGGGGCCTCCCCAGGGGAGCCCACGTGGCAAGCAGGCCCACGCAGGACCACCCCCTCAGTCCTTCTCTCCCCGGGTTTTTGAGACCTTAAAACTTCATCGTGGAGAACCGTCCCTTCAGAGGGGCTTGGAGAAGCTGGTGGACGGATGGAAGAAACGGTTCCGTCGGAGAGCGTCCCGGGTGAAGGAAGGCTGCTCTGGAGGCAGGGGAGGCCCCCAGTCATCCACAGAACTAGGAGCACAGCAAAACCAGAAGGCAACCCACCCAATGGCTCCCCCCGTCCCGAAAGGACAGCAGGATATGGAGGGGGGGGGAGGTCATCTTCACCAGGCCCCCAGCCGTTCCTCTCTCGGCTGAGACTCTCAGCTGAGACCTCATCTATTGCATGTCAAGAACTGCGACAAGCCACGTAGCCCCACGCCAGCGTCTGGAGGGGTTTGCCTCAGAGGCTTAAAACAGGGTCAGGGCCGTGAGTGGCTGGCTACCAAACCCCCCAGCCGCAAGCCAGACTCAGAGATCACCCGGGGGGGGGGGGACAAAAGGGGTCTTTATCCAGTGGAGCAAAGACTCGACTGAAGGGACATGCGGACACTGCGGCGAGGCGCCCGGCGCATGGGAGGGTTCCCCTCAGCCAAGGGCTGCTGAGAGCCTGGTTCAAACCCTTGCCCAGCTAGGAAGCCCCTCCGTGTGCCCCTGGGCTGCGTCCCCTCCCGGCCCACCTCATAGGGCTGCAGTGGCTGAAGAGCCATGGGGGGTAAGGACCACCATGGGTCCCGCCTGCCTACTGCCCTTTGGGATCCCAGCTGGCCAGGTTCCTCGCTGAACACACTCGATCCCCTCTTACAGGAGAAGCTGTGCAGGGCTGGGTCTGGGAAGCCCTCGGATGGGGGACCATCGGGTGGGGCGGCATTGAGGACCTCCGGACTGGGCCAGGCGGGAGGGTCCCTGTGGGAGACGCAACCGCCACCACGCTTGTTCCTAAGGCTTGACGAGACTGAGCAAGGGCTCCTGCTCTCACAAAGAACCAGGGCGCCGACTGCATCCTCGAGGGATCTGGACCCACATCCCCCCCCCTTTGGGTCCTGGGGACAGGATGGGGGGGGGAGGTCTGGCTGCTCTTCCTTCCCCTTGGCCCAGAGAGGCAGCCGCACGTACAACTGCAGGATAACCCCATGGCCGAGGTCTCTGGCGGTGGAGCCCCGAGGTTGGGAGTTCAATTTCCCCCCCCCCCGGCCTCTTTCGTAGGGGCTGGAAATGAGGATCCACGGCCTCCCCTCCAGCCCCGCAGTTCTAAAATAATAATTACTATTGCAGGACTGGAGGGTGTTTTGTTTCGCCAATCAACATGCAAATTAGTGCTTGTTCATTAAGGTGCCGAGTCCTTTGCATGGCCCCTCCCCCTCCCTGACCAATTAAGGACCTCTCTTTCTGGGGGGCCAAAGGCAGCCCCTCCTCAGCCCTTCCTTCAAGTGCCCAGACCGTTTGGGCCACCCGAGTTACGTACAAACTTGCGAGGAGGTGCGTGCGGGGGCGGGGCGGGGTGGCGGTGGGACTACAACCTCCAGAATCCCCCAGTCCGCGGTCTCGTCCCCCGAAAGCCGTC